TGCCCCGGGGAGGGGGCTCAGCTTCACACGGAAAAAAACACGGTGTGTCGCCAGCGTAAGGTAATTCCAGCAAGGAAGAACAGTCATCTTTTCTAACTTATTACAGAAAACAGAATTCCTGAAGCACTGGGGTAAAAAACAGGTGATTGTTTAAGGATTCTCTAAACGTTTTGGCAAAATGAAGGCACTGAGCATAAAAGTTGCTGGTTTAAGACCGAACAGCTTTACCTGAATCTGTTTGTAGCAGGAGTGGCGTTAAATTCTGCAACTGGCACTCCTCTGGCAGACACCTGAGGGGCAAACATAGCAGCAGGGTACACCACGGAGGAGGTCCCGACCTGCAGAGACAGGGCGAGAAACCACCAGTGAGACAGGTCAGTAGTTAGACAGAAACCAGCCCAACAAGGTCAGGGCCCTTCTCAGAACACTGGACCTGCAAAACCACTGAAGCATGGAAGATCCCTGCAGAAGTGAAACCAGATCAATCTATTTAGTGCCACTGCATATGTAGCTGTTTAACACGGTGTAAGAATCAGGAATGGTTTCTCTGATGCGACCCACAGAAGCCTATTTGTGGATTATAACTGTAGATGAAAAAATAATCTCAGAAACACAAAGTGGCAGACTTTGCCTTCAGGAAAACAAAACAAGACGTTCCTTCTGTTAGTTGAGATCATTCTGTGAAGGGTACGCGATATTCTGAGCAAGTGCTTTGGTTGGTGATCTGGAAGCTACGTGGCACGTTAACAACCTTGCAAAAAAAGCAGCACATGATAAGAGCTAGCTGCCTTCTTACAACATTCTGTCACTTTTTTTTTAGACTGATCATCAAAATAATCATATTTTTCACTGTTTGAGGACTTCAACAGCTGAACAATATTAGCAAGCCTCTGACACCCACGTACACTAAATGCAGGCTGCAGGTGCCAGCTGAGCGAGATGCACACGTGCTGAACCTGTTAACTTCTGAGCAGTAGAGCACGTTTTCAAACTTCGTGGTCTTAATGTTTGACACTTGGCACTAGAGAGTCCTTCAGGGGCCTTTACCCAGGAGGTGCAACCTGGTCAGCATGGCTTCCCTGTTGGCGAAGAGGCTAGGCAACAAAAGCAGCACTCACTACCAAGCACAGGTCACATATCTCAAGCTCCTTCTCGACCTCTGTGAGAATGCCGGGATCCAGGGTTTCACCAAACCACACGACATGGGGACGGAGGAGCCCATTGCAGCCGTCCTCCTCACACCTGTTCAGAAATCACAAAGTGACAACATTACGCTGCTGATGTGGAGACTTCAGCCTGCAGAACAGCAAAGCAGTTTTTGTTCTTGTTTGGACATCTCCTACCTGCCCTCACTCTTCCTCCCTTCTCCTTCACAGCCATCCCCAAACCTTCCTCTCCCACGTGCTGGACAGAAGGCAGCTGATGCCACGCTACATGCGCGTTGGAAGCACAGATGTGCTGCCTGGTCACACAGAACAGGTTGCTGAACAGTTTTTCAACTCAGATACTTAATCATGTCTTTCCTTTAGTCAGCTCCTGAAACGTGTGAAACTTAAAAACATAGTATGGGCTACAGAGCTCTGCTTCCATCAACTTTAACCAACTGCCCAACAAGTTTTTAAAGAGAAAGTGAACTGTAAAGCAGAAACATCACATCAGCCTATTTTCCTTAGGAACTAGATGGAAAATACAGTGGCTTCTTCCTCCTGCAACTAGCTAAGGCAAAGCTTCAGCCACTACAAAAAAGCACTGTGGCACATTTAACGACTGCAAGGGACTACGCCGTGGCTGGACCCCACCACACTATTCCAGACTAACAGTAGCAACTTTGCACCTGCAAAGTGATAAAACATTTACTGTGTAGCACTTAGACTTGATGCTCAAGTACACAAGCATGTGATCTCTTTAGCATCACGGTGAACTTCTAGTACATGCTCCTGTCGTCTGCTGTCCCCTGTAACTTTAGTTCTTTGGGGCAAAGCCCCATGCCTTTTTCTCCTGTAGAACGTTTCCATGTCCTTCCAAAGGTACATGAACAGTAATATAAGCATTGGAGATGCACAAAGTGTGAGGAGGTAACAGCAAGAAACAAAGCAGTTGATACATACTGAGGGAGGTCTTCAACTGGAATCACGGCGTCTTCTGTTTCAGGATCTGGAGCCCTGAAATTACAAAATTGAAATACATATTCAATCATACAAAGTTCACTTTATCTAATAAAAACTTAGAACTCTGAAGGACATTCTCCAATCAAGGAATCTTTGCAACTTCAGCCAACTTCAACACCTACTATGACCCTAGAAGAGCACATACAGGGCAGGCAGGCATTTGTCCAGAATCATCCCAGAGCTAAGAAGCTGGAATAAGCTGGTCAGAGTCTGTCAGAGGCACAACAAATGTTTATGTAGCTATCTAAAGATCTGGTGAAACGCACAGGGAAAAAAACTTAAAAATCTATGAGCATAAGCCTTTCTGGTCCTTCCACCCCCTTTTTTTTTTTAATGGTGAAAGAAAGAAGAGGGCTAGAAAAAGGAGGCTGAAAGATTTTTCTGCAACTTTTTAGGTAGCAGAAATCCTGGGAACTGATTTTTCCCTCTTGATTGTTTCACATATCTGTATTCTGAGACCTGTAATCATGAGAATCTTATTGTCCAGCTGAAGGACAAAAGCTACTAGGTGTTCAAGAGATGCAGAAGAGGACAATCCATGCGTCAAGCGATGACAGTCCAGTTTAAGGAATAAGCACCCAATTTAATTAAAAACCTGGAAGGTGAAGAGGACGTGAGTAAACACGCATTCCCAAAGAGTTCAATTAGTTGATGTGCAATATGAGAGTTTTAGACTATCTGAATGGTTCTAACTAAACCACGTATAACGTTGTGCTACCTCAGAGGTTAACAGTTACTCATTCACAGGACTTACTGTATCATGGGTTCTCACCGAAGTTACCAAAGTGCATACTCGTGTTTCAAAACAGCCGTGTCAAATTTAAGCATTAATACTACTAAAGGAAAACGAGTTGGTCGGCCAAAGCTCCTGTACGCTCCTAAAACAGCTCCTTTTCTGTTGAACAGCAGACAGAGCAGAAAATACAGAGCGTTTACAAGGCAGACGTCTTACCCCTTCCCACCCAGTGCGGGGCATATGGGGCTCTTGTAATTCGCAGCCACGTTTCCGCAGTTGGTGCATCGCGTTTTAAATAAACTACCTGAAACGCACAAAGGGAAAACATCAGGGATCACGCGGGTGCTCTGAGGGACGGCTGCACAAACAAATGGTTGTGTTTACCCCGGGTGGCCTCCATTTGAAGGCCATGCCTTGTGGGTGGCTTACTACATGGACATAACAGCGAAGTGTGGAACCCGGCAGCGCTATTTACACAGCGCGTACACACGCTTTTGTTCAGCAGCCCAGGGTGACCAGCTTCCCAGCTGAGCACAGACTGGGCCCAGCAACGACAGGCACAGCCCTTTCAGCTGGAAGGCCGCAGGGAACAGCAGCAACAGCCCCTCTAAGCCACGATTTGTCACCTTGATCTACCTCCCCTCTTCAGTAATACGTAGCTTCGTAACAGTATTGCAGAGGAAGATCATTTAAAATACCACTGAGGGAGATGATTTCTGCTTATTGCTTCTCCGCTTAAATCAGAAACATTTTCTTCAAAAAAGATACGCTGTTAAACACTGCTTTGTTTTAAGCAAATCTCCCCAACCCCAAGACTTTTGTAGCGTTAGTAACGTGCTTTAGAGATGCGCAGCATTACCGAGAGTTTAAAATGGTTTATATTTTGTACAGGCTAAGACTAAAATTAAACTGTACCCAAGGCTTTGTCCTTGGATCCACAACTGCAAAACAATTCATGCAGGTTGCCTGTGTCCAGACCACAAAGTAAATTCCATTTAAAGCATCACAGTGCTGGAGGATGGGACTGTCCCAGGAGGCGTTCACTCTGCAGCAGGGCCTGCGGAGTGAAGGCATCTCACAGGATGGAGAAGGGCTTCCTCACCCTCCATTTTCTCCACTCCTGTAGCGTATTTCATCAGATCCAAAAGCCCCACTGACCCTCAGGCAATGCACCTGCGTTGTGCTCCTATGGACTCTGCTGGAGAGAGGGCGGGAGCGAGGAATGCCACTAACTATAGGGGAGAGAGGGGGAGTGCCACTGGGTGTAGGAGAGAAGGGTAAGGGAATCTCATCTTCTCCAGCCCCTTTTTCCTCTTGTGGCCAAGGACCGCACGGGTAGGTCTTGGACAGGACAGGACAGGACAGAGGGAAAGCAGCAGGTAGCAGAGCAGAAAGCACCAGGGCTGGCGAGACCAGTCTTGCCAATACACCTTCTATTGGTGGCAATATCAGTGTGGCACCACCGCTACCACACAGCAGAAGTCATCAATGGATTCTTTTCCCTTTTCTCAGTGAAATCAGCCAAGCATCCCTATCCAGAGGTATTCAGGTGGATGTGAGGCAAAACTAAGCAAGAGGGAAGGGAGAACCAGTTCCTGTGTACTGTCAGAATCAATTAAGAAAAGAAGATGAGAAATAAAGGGAGGCCATGAAGTATCCAACGAAGAATCATAGAATCACAGAACGGTTTGGGTTGGAAGGGACCTCAAAGATCATCTAGTTCCAACCCCCCTGGCATGGGCAGGGAAACCCTCCACTACACCAAGTTGCCCAAAGCCTCATCCAACCTGGCCTTGAACACTTCCAGGGATGGGGCAGCCACAACTTCTCTGGGCAACCTGTTCCACTGCCTCACCACCCTCTGAGTGAAAAACTTCTTCCTTATATCCAATCTAAATCTCCCCTCTTTCAGTTTAAATCCATTGCCCCTTGTCCTATCACTACACACCCTTGTAAAAAGTCCCTCTCCAGCTTTCCTGTAGGCCCCTTTAAGTACTGGAAGGCTGCAATAAGATCATCCCGGAGCCTTCTCCAGGCTGAACAGCCCAACTCTCTCAGCCTGTCTCCATAGCAGAGGTGTTCCAGCCCTCGTTATTGTAATTTTAAAGACAAACTTCTTTTCTTCCAGTACTTATCCTGCACTTTCTTCTCCCCACGAGTTTATTGGCCTGTAGCAGACAGGTAAGCTGATTCTTACCATGAATTTCTAAGAGGTGCTTTGTGCCCGCCTTTCTGTGGAGCTCATCAATATTCTGAGTAATGACCAAAAAATTGCTTGCTCAGTCTCCGTTCGCACTCTGCGATGGCGATGTGTGCAGCATTTGGGTGTTTACTCAACATCACTTCCCGGCGGTAGTGGTAAAACTCCCATACGCGAGAAGGGTTTCGCGCAAAAGCCTCTGGTGTAGCCAACTCCTGGAAAAGACAGAAGAATTCATTCTACCAGCAACAAGGCAACAAAATCCCCTCCCAGATGAAGCCTGCTAACACACTGCCATTTACACTGCTACCAGCATAACGAGATAATAAAAAGCAGATTGTCTATACCCAGAGGCAGCTGACAAGAATATAGCTCGATGGCCCTTACGAGGATGACAAGTCAAAGTATCTTATCGAATGAGGAAGTAGCTGATGTCAATAGTGCAGTACCTGGTTTTATGTAGTACGCTCTGACCTTATTCTGTGCTGCCCTACGAAACTATTAGGAGTTTAGTACAGCACAAAGGAAGATGAGATATGTCAATGCACGCAATTTTTGGCATGCAAAACTCTCTTTTCCACAGCAGCTATAAAACTCAGCATATAGGCTATAGATAAGGAACATAGAAAGGGATATATTTCCTTTGCCAGCAATTTCTTTTCTGCCTTAATTGAAGTGTAACACAAGCCAAATTACATGCATTGTCAAAACCCAAGTCTAACGTCCTGTCTTTATGTGCCTGTAAAATCTAAACTATACTTTTCACACTAACTTTAAGTTTGCCTTTTTTAAAACAAAGAGTAGTTCAGTATGCAGCTTCAATGCCCTTTTCTACTGATACAAAAACGTTGAATAAAAACTTTCTGATGCAGAAGGACCAGGCATTTATACACACATGTGAATTCATAGTCACTGAAAGAAAAAACGCACCTTTAGATTCAAACCATCTCTAAAACCTCATCTCTTTGACCCCTTTTTAACTTACAACAAATCCTTAATGAATGCTATCATTAAAAAACATAGAATGGTTTGGGTTGGAAGGGACTTCAAAGATCATCTAGTTCCAACCCCCTGCCATGGGCAGGGAAACCCTCCACTCTCCGTAAAGAACCAGGTATAAAGGTTATCCATGGTTTTTCTCCTGAACATCTTTCTACTACGGGTTGTAGAAAGCAAAGAAAGAAAACATAAAGAAAGCAAATGTGACTGCAGTGTTTGGGGTAGCAGCTACTGACAGTGTAACGATTACTTGAAACGCCTGCAGCACCACACAGGATCAGACCCATAAGGCACCTATACAACTCAATGTATTTTGGTGCTCTCCATTGCATCACTCCACCCCGCAGTGCCTGGCTTCCACGTCCTCTCCCACCCCAGTGGCTCCCAACACCGGCAAGATCACACCAGCAAGACAGACAGAGCTTGTGGGAGAGTTAAAGACTGTGAAGAACTCTGTCCCCAAACAACAAAAAAAATCCTAAAATGTTTTTTAAAGAGTATTATGAGGAAACCAAGACTAAAAACAACTAGTCGGTATTGTCAGCTCTGTCCTTTGTTATTTTGGTAAAAGGTTCTTAAGAGTTTAAAACAGGAAACACCCCATGAGGTAGGAACACAGTGAGGGTGTCAAAAGAGGAGCGAACAGCTAAGCTGCAAGGCAGCAAGAAAACAGGGACAGTAGAAAAACCCAGAGCTGTCTGCAAAAACGCTGTTTTTCCCAAACAGCCCATAACCCAAACAACATAAAAGAAGCTGCAGCTGCACCAGGCTGCCTCCCCCAGGGCACGAAGAAGAGCTGCAGACACGGCTGCTCTCCCTGCCATACCATAACCCTCTAAGGTACCCTGCTGCTTCCGTCTCTTCCCGCTCACCTACTTGACGGACTGAGAAGCACAGCTGCGCAGACACGTGCCACCAGTACGTACCTGGGCTTGCCACTTTCTCCAGAAGCCTCCAGCCCCTCTGAAGGTAGGAACTCCACTCTCCGCACTAACACCGGCTCCCGTGATAATGGCTATATGCTTCGCTTTGGCAAACACTTCTCGAAAATCCGCCATATCTGTGTGTGGGGTGGGAAAACGAACAGCTGCTCAAACACCTATACTTTTATGTAAGAGGCAATACATACAGTGCTGGCAAACTTCGGCATCCAGAAATGGCTTCCACACACATCTCCCATGACTTCAATTTCAGAATACTGATTTGTTTCTGAGCTTCCGTATGTTGGAATTTGAAGGGCAATTCCTGGAGGTCCTTAAGACACATATGAGCAAGCCCAGTAGGGCAACATGTATTAAACTACGAACATACCCAATATTTGAAAGGCAGAGCCTTAAACTAAAACCCCATACTAGATGCTGCCACGATTAACAACTGCTGCCACCAACACCCCAGAAGAGTTTGCTTCCTAATTCCAAGGTAAAATCCTGAGATGGAAAACATTTACATTTAGTTACAAAATTAAGGTAATTTGGGAAAATCCATTTTCTCTGAGGCATCTTGCCCGTTTTCTAGGTTTGCAATTGTACGTTCTACTTTTGAACGTATATTCCCTCTGTTTTTCTCTGCATGGTAAGGTAACTTGGGAAAAATATGAAATTTCCTTTGCATTTCTCTAAAAACAAGATTAAAATAGAACAGGTTAGCTAAAGTACTCTCTTGTACGGGGGAGCCCCTAGTCTGGTCTTCAGTCTCCAACAGCAGCCAAACACTGATGCTCAAGACAGCAGAAAAAGCAGGTGCACCTCTAGGGCTTTCACTATTACACCTGTGAAGTTCTGTGCGCAGTTCTCCAATTAAAACACATCCTCAAATTAAAAAAACAAACCCAAAAAGCCCCCAAACAAGCAAAAAGACGATACTACTATTAGACTGAACCAGGCTCCTGGGGTTACTCAGTACCCTGCTCTCAACTTGTTACGAATGCTCAAGACCCTCCATAGCTCTTATACAAAGAAATGAGGATTGAGTTTTATTACCCATTAGGATTAGGAAAAGGAAATGCAATTAATTAGCATACGGTTATGTGCATAAATTATAAATACTAAAAACAAATCACCAGGCAACCACACTAACTGCCACCATGCGAGGGTTTTTGAAACTATCCATAGAAGATAAAAGTCTAGCAGCTGAAAAAAAAAAAAAAAAATCAACTTCACGCTCTTCTACACGTTTCGAATTAAACTACAGCTTCCACCCCTTACACGAAACCTTCTACAACTTCAAATCTAGCTTACACACCTGTCTGGGGTACTAAAGGAAACAAATAGATGTCTTACTTGAACTAGGACGAGCCATTTCCAAGCAAAACTTCTGTTTCTTTGAAGAAGAAGCCTTAAGTCCACAATATGCTTGGGAAACCAACCTTCTAGCAGTAAATTGGAAGAGACTCATCAGCATCCCTCGCAAGGGCTTCACCTGAGAAAAAATTAATGAAACACAAGTGATCAGTTTAGGGAGCGTATTTCTGCAAGCTCCCTGTAAGGAATTACAGAACGGTTAGGGTTGGAAGGGACCTCGAAGATCATCTAGTTCCAACCCCCCTGCCATGGGCAGGGACAACCTCCACTCTCCGTAAAGAACCAGGTATAAAGTTTATCCATGGTTTTTCTCCTGAACATCACTCAGCCAAATACTTTTACGTTTCGGAGGCATTCACCACCACGGTATTTCTGCTTGACGAGAGGATAAAACATTCCATGAGATTTAACAGGGCTGCTCTCGCTCCCTTTTGACGATGAAGGCTATGGCAGCGCCTTCAACTCCCCCCCCGCCTCCACCAGTCCCTGCGCTGCAAAACACAGACATCCCAAAATCCCAGCCCCCGAACCGGGATGACCGCTTTTGTCCGCTTTCACTTCCAGTCACGAATCAGAGAGACCGTTCCGCCCGAATCGCCAAGGCACGAAATATTCGCCTCATAAATTGAAACTCACGCGAGGAGGGGTCGTTCCGGGACGAAGCCTACGTGCAG